TCCTTCCCATAGGGAGACACAACACCAGCCCCAGCTGGGACACCATCCTTCCCATAGGGAGACACAACACCAGCCCCAGCTGGGACACCATCCTTTCCAGAGGGAGACACAACTCCTGCATCAGCTGGGACACCATCCTTTCCAGAGGGAGACACAATTCCTCCTGCACCACCAGCACCACCACCAACACCAGCTCCAGCTGGGACACCATCCTTCCCATAGGGAGCCCCAACTCCCCCTGCACCAGCTACACCAGCCCCACCAGCCCCAGTTGGGAGACCATCCTTCCCATAGGGAGACACAATTCCTCCTGCACCACCAGCACCAGCACCAGCCCCAGCTGGGAGACCATCCATTCCATAGGGAGACACGACTCCTGCAGCACCAGCAACACCACCACCACCAGCTCCAGCTGGGAGACCATCCTTTCCACAGAGAGCCCCAACTCCCCCTGCACCACCAGCACCACCAGCCCCAGCTAGAAGACCATCTATTCCATAGGGAGAACCAACTCCCCCTGCACCAGCACCACCAGCACCACCAGCACCACCAGCACCAGCCCCAGCTGGAAGACCATCCTTTCCATAGGGAGACCCAAATGCCCCTACATCAGCACCACCAACACCAGCACCACCAACACCAGCTCCAACTGGAAGACCATCCTTTCCAAAGGGAGCTGCAACTCCCCCTGCACCAGCACCACCAATACCAGCTCCAGCTGGGAGACCATCCTTTCCATATGGAGATCCAACTCCCCCTGCACCAGCAGCACCTGCTCCAACTGGGAAACCACCAATTCCATATGGAGCTCCAACACCTCCCACACCACCACCTGGAGCTCCACCAATGCTTGGTCCAGCCAGGACACCATCCTTTCCATAGGGAGCCCCAATTCCCCCTGCACCAGCTACACCGGCACCACCAGGGACACCAGAGAGAGCTCCAACTCCCCCTGCACCAGCTACACCAGCAGCACCAAAACCTGCTCCCACTGGGAGACCATTCTTTCCATAGGGAGCCTCAAATCCCCCTACACCAGCCCCACCAACTCCTGCTCCAGCTGGGAGACCATCCTTTCCATAGGAAGCCCCAAATCCCCCTGCACCAGCAGCACCAGCCCCACCAACCCCTGCTCCCACTGGGAGACCATCCTTTCCATAGGGACCCCCACCTCCCCCTGCACCAGCAGCACCNCCTGCACCAGCAGCACCAGCCCCACCAACCCCTGCTCCCACTGGGAGACCATCCTTTCCATAGGGACCCCCACCTCCCCCTGCACCAGCAGCACCTGCTCCAGCTGGGAAACCATCCATTCCATAAGGAGACCCAACACCTCCAAAGCCACCACCTGCAGCTCCACCAGTGCCTGCACCAGCAGGGAGGCCATCTTTTCCATATGGATACCCAACCCCCCCTGCACCAGCAGCACCAGCACCACCAACACCAGCTCCAGCTGGAAGACCATCCTTTCCATAGGGAGAACCAAATGCCCCTGCCCCAGCTACACCAGCAACACCAACACCTGCTCCAACTGGGAGACCATCCTTCCCATACAAAGATCCAACACCTCCAAAGCCACCACCTTCAGCTCCACCAACACCTGGTCCAGCAGGGATGCCATCTTTTCCGTATGGATACCCAAGTGGCCCTGCACCAGCACCACCAGTACCACCAGCACCAGCCCCAGCTGGGACACCATCCTTTCCATAAAGAGCCCCAAATCCCCCTGCACCAGTAGCACCAGCACCTCCAACACCATCTCCAGCTGGGACACCATCCTTTCCATAGGGAGCCCCAAATCCCCCTGCACCAGCACCACCAACTCCAGCTCCAGCAGGGATGCCATCCTTTCCATAGGGAGCCCCAAATCCCCCTGCACCAGTAGCACCAGCACCTCCAACACCATCTCCAGCTGGGACACCATCCTTCCCATAGGGAGCCCCAAATCCCCCTGCACCAGCACCTCCAACACCATCTCCAGCTGGGACACCATCCTTC